AGAGAGAGAGAGAGATAAACATGTTAGATGGCGTGTAGGCCAGACCCCAAACCAACCAACTGGCCAAGCCAGGGCCACTCCATCCCAAAGAGCTTGTTCTAATGACTAGAGAGGAAACTTAGATTTAGAGTTCTACTTTTTAAAACATGTTTCAACTTTTAAAGAAGCAGAAACTTTGAAGTTCTTAAAGATGAAACTTTTTTCAATGCTTTTTTCAAGGAAAAAAAAACAACAGCGTTTTTACCTTTTAGGGCCTGCAGGCTGCCAGTGTGCTCTTGGGAGGACCCTGGCCCCTAAGAGAACATTTTATCAATGCTCTACCTGGAAACATACCTTGAAATTATATCTAAGGTGTAACTCTAATAAATAATGAAATGCAAATAATTGAGAAGTCAAATGAAAAGAAAGTTTAAAAAACAAACAAACAAAAAAAATCACTCCTCCAATTATCCTTTCTCTTTCTCATCTTCTAGTCTGAGAGCATTCATGGAAAAGAAAGAGCTCAGCCAGATACACATTTTCAGCCTTACTCTCATTTACAGACTTTGGGAGATTCGTGCAGTATTTGAAAGAATACGAAGTTTGTGAGCACTGGGGGGAAGCATGCTTAAACCTACTTCCCAATTTGTCTTCTAGAAATGGAGATAAAGGGTTACAGGCATGAGAGAAGGAGGAATGAAAAGTTAGGGGAGAGAAAAAAGGTCAGGCAAGCATAGATCAAAGGCAGAAGCATGTGTAATCTAAACACATAAGGGTAAAGTCCTGAAAATTTAAAATTTAACATTTAAAAATATTTTTAAAAACTTTTTACTTACTGGGTTTTATGTCCTGCTTAGAAAAATCTGCCTCACCCCAAGATTATGTTATATATTATACAAGCTTTCTTTTAGAAATCTGTGATTTCATCTTTTGATGTTTAAAACTTTGATTCACCTACAATTTATTTATTTAGGCGAAATGAGTGAGAGATATAAATCCCTTTCCAATGATTAACCAGTTATCTTGACCCATTTGTTATATAATCCTTTATTTTCCCACTGGTTTAAAAGCCTCTCTTTTTCATTAACTAAATTTCCATGTAGACTATACTTATTTCTGGGCTTTCTAGTCTGTTCCACTCTTTGTCCATTCCCTAGTACCAGTTTTAGTTATTATGGCTTTTAGTATGTTTTAACATAAGGGTAAATCTAGTTCATTTCATTCTGCTGTCTTAAAAATTTTCCTGTCTATTTCCACATGCTTATTTTTTTTAATGAACTTTAGTATTATTTGAGGATCTTGTTAAACTTATAATTTGAGGACAATGACATCTTAGCAAGGTCATGATGTAAAGATGCCATCTTCTTGGAGCACAAGGTTCTTACATCCTTGTTCTCAGATAAGATTATAAAGTTATCCTGGCTGCTGAGGAGTTGTGTAGGCCTGTGTAAAGCTGTGGCTGGTGACTAAAAGAAAAAAATATGACAGAGACCTGTGCTGGGGTCCTTACCCTGGACGAGGATGACCCAGGTAAACAAGATATGGAGTTAAGGGGGAGGCCCATCTCCCACCATATCAGTGACTACTGGGTGGGCAAGTGAGGTGTTGTGGGAGAGACATGCATAGGACAGATGAGGTCAGAGGTACTGCCAGCTCTAGAAGGCCACGAGGGAGAGTAATGACACACATTTAGAATAAGCAGTTTCTTGGGTAGGCAGGTAAGAGGAGCCTCACAGGTGGAGGGAATGAGTCAAAAGAGATTTCTCAAAGAATAATCCAGAAGACAGGACCAATGGTTATTGTGTTCTTGGTGTGTTCCAGGACTTTCTGAAACATTGATGTCAATGTTTGATGCCACACTCCAAGATTTCATTAGTCTCAAAAATTAAGAACTATCGTTTCTCCTTATCACTTTGAGTCTGTTCCTGTAGCTTGCACAGTGTGGACTTTGAAGCCTAACGTTTTCTGCCTTCCCCTAATGAGAGTTGATGCTGCTTTGGTATTTCTCTATCAGCCATCTGCTCAGGTCTGAAATGTGTGGTCCACCTTTCCTAAGGCCAAACACCTCCATTTCCCAGATAAGAAGGTCACCTTGGTAATTGCATTGGGAAAAGGCAGATTGGACATTTAAAGGAAATGCAGATTAAATACTTCACTATTTCATAGAGCAGAGATGGCATTAAGCATTTAAAGAGATGCACAAGAATGCATCCAACGCCATCAGGGAGAATGGTTGAAACAACTTTCTGCAGAATGTCTGTGAAATGATGACCTACAAATCCAGCTTCCAGGTCCCAGCACCAGCAGTAGTTCATGAACCGGACAAAACAAGCCCTCAGGAAGTCCCCCAGCAGGATGGTGATGTATGTTACCAGCATGTCGGACACCGTCAGCCTCATGAATTCCTGAAAAGAGGAACACAGAGACGGGGTGGTCAGGGTTGGACCTTGCTCACTTCTCCCGACTGATTGCAGCCATGCCAAATTTCCCCACACACCTGAATTCTTCTCTGGGACCCTCTGATTTTTGGTGGCAGATAGGTGGTGGTGCAGAGCAAGAACCCCAGGCTTTGGAAAATGCTTAAAATAGGCCTCAGCTTTACAAGTTACTAATTGTATTGCTTTGGAATAGTCTCTGAACTTCCTGAAGTTGATAATATTAACCTTGCAGGGTTAATGGGAAGCTTAGCGATTATGTATGTAAATTGCCTAGCATGCTGGCAATGCCCAGTGCTTGGTGGTTATTAGCACTATTGCACAGATATAGGATCTGAAAGCTCATCCCTTGCTTCTCCCATCTGCTCTGAAATGCCAGCTGCCCCAGCTGAGACTGAATCTGACCATCGCCACTGAGAACAACACCTGGCTTTCTTTATCGCCTGCTAATTGATTTTTTTTCTTGTTATATAGAGAAAATAATGCAGGTTTTTCACAGAGGCACATAACAGAAGATGCTAAGTCAAAGGAACAGAGAACCTTCTCTGCTTGGTAGAGTATATACGACATTACTTCTTTTGAAAATTGAAAAGATCAACCAGACATCATTACAATTATAACCTGTGAGACATCTAATAGATATGGAATTTCAAGAGGGCACAGGATCTGCTTTATTTATTTTTGTATCCTCCAAGATAAATAATAAACATTGGCTGGATGAACAGCAAATGATTTTTCAGGGTTGTTCCTTTATAAGAATTCAGGTTAATCTTCCTAAGTAATAGACAACCCAACATATATTAGGTCTCCACTCTGTGCAAGATGATGCTCTGGGGCCTGGGGTGGAGGTGGTGGAGGACACAAGTGAGTAGGACATAACACCTCAAACCCATCAGCATGTCAGTAACAACAAGCTCAGAAATAAACAAGCTTTCATCAGTAATGGGAACAGTAATGGGCATTCAGGGAGGAAGGCAAGAGAGGTGCCTCCCAAGGAAGGATGTGTGGCAAGAAATGAGAAGTTCTATAGCAACATATTCCCAAAGAATCACATAGGTAATGAACTCTCTTTTAACTTCTAAAGAGGGTGGGTTTGGTTGACTTGAAGATTCTTTCTCTGTTACACATTGTGATGGGTTGAGAAATGCAGGAGCTGGTGAAGCTGAGTGGCTCTGTACATTAAAGATGAGGAAGAGTTGAAGATTATGGGGAATCTGAATTGAAGGAGGCAAGAAATGGTGAGTCTGAGCCCTCCATGAAGGAATTAGGGAGAAAAGGTAGCCATGGGTGGCCGTTTTCAATGGAGTGTGTGATGTAATGCCCTCCTCCATTGTACTTCAACATACTCAGCTAAAAACACTGTTGTCTAATGCTTTATGTGAGTAAATTCTTCAGGAGACCCGTGAAAAAGTAATAAACACTGCATCTCACTGGAGTCGCTGATGAATAGAAACCCCATGCAAAGAGATGGAGTTGAGGAAGAGAAGGCAGCTGATTGCTGTGTTATCCGTGAGTACTTGAAGTTACTGCTTCTGAAGGCAAAGAACACTAGGCTTTGAAGTCCACACTGTGCGAAGTACAGGAACAATAGTGAAAGTGGGTATGGGGAAACGGTTATTAATTTTTGAGACTCTAATGAAAATCATTAATTCTCTTTACAGAAAAATGCACACATGCATATGTACACAAAATCATGCATCCAATTTTTATGAGTATTTATTCATGATTTCCAGGTGGAGAACCTCAGGCTTTCAGTAAAATCTGCAGTAAAACTAAATAAATGCAAGTGGTTGTAGATTGATGAATGGAGCATGTAAGAGAAATATGTGGGACATTGAAAAAAATGGGAAAGTGAAAAGGTGGAACTTTCCTAAGAAATATTGGCTGGACATTTTAGTGGCTGAAAAATGGAAATATCAAGGAAAGAATAACAAGAACTGAGGATAAGGGTAATCTTTTCGGGACAGCACAGTTACTCACAATGCCCACGGCTGTCTCCCAGCAAGAACCACGGGGCACATCAGCAGGATGCAGGGGTGGCCGGGGGACACTCTCATTCCAACCCGAGGAGTTGTAATAGTTAAACAGAGTCCAGTGAGTGATGTTCTTTATTGTCTCTTCATTAGAAAGCTGGAATGGAAGACGGAGACGGGTCAGAAGGAGCCAGGGATGGTCCAACCATTTCTACAGAAACAACAATTAAAGCCAGCACATGCCATAGCCTTACTACCTAAACTCTGCCCTGCCCCTTAACAGAGTCTCCCCAAAAATCTAAACAGAAGAGGGGGGCAATTGGCTGAAGTCCTTGGGTCTTTTCCATGAAGTTATCTTCTCTAAATTATTATCCATCTGTCTGTCCATCCATCCATTCAGTTATTCATTCTTCTTTTGAGAATAATTTATTCAGGGTCTATTCTGGACATACAAGGCAGTGGTGACACAGGAGTGAATAAGAGGGGTGGCGTGTTCCTCAGAAAGTTCACAGTCTAGTAATTGACAGATGAACAGACAGACAATTACAGAACAGAGTGATAAGAATTATGGGAAATTTTCTCTGGGGATTGAGGAAATCCACATCAGACAGTGGGGGCCACAGAAGTCTTCCTGGAGGCAAAGAGATCTGAGCCCAAACCTCAGGGAGGATCAATTAACTAGTCAAACAGGAAGAAGGGTGGAGGGAGAAGCAAGAGAGAATTTTGCCCCATGGAGGAATGTGAGGCTCAGGAGAGGAATAGTCTACTGGGGTCGGAGAGGGACCAGAGATGAGGGCGGAGTGGTGGGCAAGGGCCAGATCCGATCACTTCCATGCTTAGAACCTTCTACAAGCATTCCTGTTAACCTCAGGAAAAAGTTCATGCAGCTCAGTAAGGAGGAGGGAGGGTGAGGAAGAGAAGCGTTATCATCTGGGCCTTCCCGCGGTTTCATTTTCCACCCTTTCCCTCGGCTCTGTTGTACAGTTCTCCGTTTGCACCAGCTATTCTCTCTGCTTTTCCAATCTCCATTCCAATCTCTGCAAAGACTCTTCTGGGGGTTCTGGAGTCCCTCCTGTGCACTTCCATGCTGGCCTGCATTTGCCCTCAATGAAGCATATGCTGCAGCACGATGTAACGAATGAGTCTGTCTCCTGGCGAGTGCAAACAGCCTTGGATCAGGACTGTGTTTGACTTGCTGCTGTACCCGCAGGGCCTGACAAAGTGGGTGCTCCATAACCATCTTGTAAGAAGTGATGAAAGTTTATGACATATCATCTCAATGGACACTTACTTGGCTACTCGGCTGATAAACACTTATGGCAACTATGAAATAATATGGGAAAGGCTGTAAATAAAATATTAATGGTACCAAGTGACATGTATATAATGTGAAAAAAGACAGCCTAAGAAAAAGACAGCAAAGAACAACAGAGAAATGTTAAAAATGGCTGTTTTTGTGTCATATCTTGGAGATATTTTTCTTCGTTTTACTTTTCTGAACTTTCCAAAATCTATTTAATTAATACGAATTGTGCATAAGGAGATTATTATATTTAGAACATGATGGGCATCAGGGACTGGCAGATGTTCGTGGTCAGTCTTTACCTTGAGGTGGACGTCATCCATCAGAGCCAAGAGAAATGTGTAGAGGTTCCCCAGAAAAAGTGCAAAGATGCGTCCCAGCTGCCACTTCAGTCCAATGCGTGGGTGGTAATTCTCCAGGGCGGCGATGGTTTCAAACAGAGGAGGACAAAACATCCCAAGCAGAGACATCACAATTTCTACCTGAGAGATCAGGAAAGCCTGGGTTACTTGTGTCATCAATATCACTTGGTTGGTCATCATCTCTGAACCCCCAGGGCCATATAACTCCATTTCCTTTTTGCCCCCTCCTCTGTGTCTCCACAACTTGCTGCGTGACCCTGGCAAAAGCATCAACATGACCTGAGCAGTCAGCGTATGTCCCATACATCATAATTACTCTGCGACTGGTTGCTATCATGATTGTTGCTATTAGTATGGATAAAACTAGCAAGCTTTCTTTGAGAAGTGAATGAGTTAGCCTATGGGACAATACTTGGTGTTCTGTAAAATTGTGAGCTAGGTAAGAGTCACTGTGGCAGCCATCATCTCAGGAGAATGGAAGAGAGGAAGCTCAGATCACAGAAGAGAACTAACAATAGAGGGATGCAGTTGAGAACGGCTTTCGGAGTCAGCTCTCTGGATTTGAGTCCCAGCTCTGTCACTTGCTGGCTTTGAAATGTAGGAGAAGTGACCTAACTTCTTGTTTCTTCATGTGTAAAATGGTGATGGCAGTCCTCGTTGTGAGAGTCAGAAGAGATAATAAATGCACATCTACTAGTCTAGAGCCTGGTAAATGGTAAACCTTCACTTTCACATCCAATTTTGGGAAAATCCCGACTCTGTAATTGAACCTGACTATAATAGAACATTCTCTTTACAACAAAAACTGCTCATCCAGTGGATGGTAAATCTTTGAGCTGCTGACCAAATTGCGGGTTGGTCACTACTTCTGGGCTGGTCCTGACTCCCCTACTTTCTCTCACACTGACTTAGCTTGGCTTTGCATCACCTTCATACCTACTTACCTGCTCATGCAGTTCTTTCCATATGGAGAACCCTCCCTATAGCACATCTGCTGCTGCTCTTCTTTACATATTTGTCTGATAATGCTCAGCCTAATTCCTGCCTTTGCTACAAATCCCCATATCTCCAGTTCACATGGACATTTCCCCTTGCAACACATCTGTAACCCAAAACATCTTATTTGGTCATGTTATTTCTGCCTACTGCTGTTTGTGCTTTGGTTTATTCTTGTCAAGCCTGCTTCCTAAGGAAACTGCAGTCTATTATTACCTTTAAACTGTAGCTTTAATCCATTTATATTTATTGTAATCATTGACACATTTAGATTTAAATCTTATCTGATTTTCTGCTTCATATTTGTCCTACCAGTTCCTTTTTCTATCCTTTCTTGCTTTTATTTAATTTATTTAGCTTATGATTCTGTGGGTCAGTGTTTGTTTCTGGGTTTAGTTAGGTGGTTCGTCTGCTGGTCCCACCTGGATTCATTCATGAATCTATCTATGGTCAACTGATGGTTGATGGCTTCATTTACATTTCTGGTGGTTGATTGGCTATCACCTGGGGGTGATGAGATAAATGGGCCGTGTCTCTCATTCAGCAGGCTATCCTGGAATTGGCCACACGATGAAGGTCTCAGGGTTCCCAAAAGAGCAAATCGCAATACACAAGCACTTTTCAAGTCTGCTTGCATCATGGTTGCTACTGTCCTATTGGCTAAAAGCAAGTCAGATGAACTAGCCAAGCTAAATTCAAGGAATGGGGAAATAGATCCCACCTCTTCATGGGAGCGGCTAAAATATTACATTGCAAAGAAATTTGTATACAAAGATAGGATGAATCTGTAGCCATTTTTGCCAACTACCACAGATGCTAAATTCCCAAAAGAGATTTATGGATCAATATAATCACAATAAAATCTTAATGTGTTTTATTGTGGATCTTGATGAAAACCTCATTCTGCCAGATATCAATACATACTATAAAGCCATAGTCAATGAGTGTGTTAGTGTAGGAATAGACAAATAGACCAACAGAATAGAAAAGAGAGCCCAGAATCATAACCATGCATAAATAGACACTTGATTTATGATATATGGCACTGTAGAATTATGAAGAAAGGAATACCTTGTTGATAACTGGGATTAAAGACAATTGGCTATCCAGTTGACTGACATGCTAATTAAATCCACCTTTATCTAGCCACAAAGGCCTAATAATAGGTGGCTCTTCCTTCAACTGCTTGACTTGAAAGGGATGGAATTTTGCTTTCTAAAACAAGTCCTATAACCCAGACTTTCAATAATTCAGATGAATGGCATAGGAACCAGTATAATTTCAGTTATACTGAATCTCACTTCCAATATTCACTTCCATAAAGATGTCCTTCTTACCTCATTCCTTTCATACCAGCTGACGTTCTGCATTTTGGAGAATTCCTGGGATCGCTTCACTACAAAGTAAATGAGGTACCCACTTCCACACAAACAACAGATGATGAGGAAGTTGGCCAGGACACGGAGAAATCTTGTCAGGTGGATATTTTCTTCTTTGTTACTCTCCTGTTCATCTACTATTGATTCCTTAGTGTATAAAAATGAGATGTGAATTTCACCATAAAAATAAATAAATAAATTAATTAATTTAAAAAAATGAGATGTGAATAATGTCAGGTCAGGAACCAATAGGAACCATCGCTGTTTGGGTTCTCAGATGACTACTTTGCATATACTTCATAAATGAAATATTACAGAAGGGTGGTGTAAAGCTCTTTCGCCCTATGGAGAATTTATTCTTTCTTTTAAGAAAACATATTTTGTTGTTACTGTTACTGTTTGGCACATGTAATGACAAAAGCTTAGATTTATCAGATACTTACTATGTGCCAGATGTGGTGCTAAACACTTCTCATATAGCATCCCTCTTAATCCCAATAACAAACCAATAGACCAGTTATTATTATTAACCATATAGCAGATACTAAAGACTAGAGAAATTTCAGTAATTGATTAGGATTATTTTAAATCTATAGATTAACTCTACAGCCATGCCACTCTGAACAAGCTCGATCCTGTCTGACCTTGGAAGCTAAGCAGGGTCGGGCCTGGTTAGTACTTGGATGAGAGACCATCTAGGAAGACCAGGTGCTGAAGACGTAAAAAATAAAAAAATAAAGGATTCTAAGCTAACAAGGTCCTTGCAATCTGTGAGGTCAACCAAAGGTTGGCTCACCTTAAAAATAAAAATAAAAAAATTAAAAAAAAAATAAATAAATCCATAGATCAAATATACTAACATTAATTCAGGGCTGGCATTTTCTATAAAAAAGTTCGGGCCAAACTCTTTCTATAAAAAGCCGGTAGTACATCTTTTGGGGTTTGTAGGCCATGTGGTCTCTCTCACAACTACTCAACTATGCCACTGTAGCACAAAAGTAACCATAGAGAATATATAAATAAACAGGCATGGCTTTGTTTCAATAAAACTTATTTACAAAAAAAAGCAGCAGACTAGATTTGGACCCTGGGCCATAGTTTGGTGACTCCATTTATTTAGAGTTTCTTAACTTCTTTCAGCAATGTTTTGTACTTTTAGTGTAGCAATCTTGCACATTTTTTTTGGTTAAATCTATTCCTAGGAATTTTTTTGTAATTTATATAATTGTATTGTAAATGGAATTAAAAATTATTTTTCAATTGTTTGCTGTGAGTGTATCAAAATACAATAGATATTTTATTATTAATAAAACATCAGTAACTGATGTTTTACTGCATCAGTAACTCTATGAAGACACAATTAGTATGTGGCAGACTGGGATGGAAAGCGAGGTCTCTTGGAAACTAAAGTACTTGGAAGGAGACTTTGCTAATCAATTAACAGTTACTGTTTTCAGATTCAGGTTTAACTAACTCATCAAGCAGTTAATATATATTAATGGACACAGTTCCCATAACATGTGCCCTTTTATGTATATGTATTATCTTGATTATTTTTATAGACTCAGAGGCAAATCCTTCTTCTTCCTAGATATTCAAAGTGCTTCACAGATATTGACCTTCTTTGTCTTTCTCTGGTAGGCTTAGAGGAAGAGTCAAAGCCCTCATTGACCCCTACCCTGCCCTTGGATGCTCCATCAGAGGCTCCCCATTGCTATGAGAAGGAAAGGAGTCAGCTCCCTGCTCCACCCACTGCCAAGCTGACAACATTCTGGGGCTCACGAAACCCATGTGAGTTGCTGAGGCAAATCCTGTCCCTGCTGGATGTACCTGCCATCTATAGGCATTGGTCAGTGGGCAGCAGCTCACTTCTCCTCTGAGGAAGGGCCAGGTGAGAGGAGAAGAAAAAGACATAGCCAAGCATAGTTGTGTTATAAATTTTTCCTCTGCCAGGTCTTATGGGAAAGTGACTGATCAGGCAGGAGAAATATTGAACTATCAAGAACTCTGAATGGTGTTTATAGTAACAGAGGAAAAAATAGGATGTTCAGTGCTTCAGCGTCACAGCTTCTGCCTTCATTAATTTGCTTACTCTCTGGTTTGTTTTAATATTATACAATAGAGATGTGTGGGTTACCTCATATCTCTTTTTTGAACAAATTAATGAGATAATTAAGTGTGGAGTTACATACTCAATTAATTCCTTTATTCCCACACCCCCAAACTAGAGTTCTCAACTCTTTCTGGGTGTTGTAATTACTTGAGAAGTTTTTTTAAAAATCCGATGCCAGGACCCATTCCACAGCAATTACACTGAAATCTCTGGGAGTGGGACCAAGAAGATTTTTAAAGCTCCTTGGGTGATTCAAACATGTGTAAAAGGTTGCGAACTGCTGCCCCAAATGGGTCCTTTCATGTCTTCCAGTGGAAAACGGTTCCACGAGGAAATACTCATGTCTCAGCATCATTGATTTTCTGCCATATAAAGAAACAGATGGTGGGTACCAGCTGTGAGCATTTTTTCTTGAAGGCTTGAAAGCTGGGCTCCTGCTTCTGGTAAAGCTCTTGCCACAGATTACTCAGCGATCTTATTTTTTATATGCCAGCTGCGAGAATTCTCCCAATGATCAGAGGAACCCAAATTCCCCCAGGAAGTGAGAACTTCCCTGAATGGCTACCTTGAAGCTGGTGGTGATGGAGGCATATTTGTTGTCGGCTGTCTCTGAATTCCCTATCAGGTAGTCCCAGCTGGTGAACATCTTGAAGCTGAATGTGAAGTTATCATTCTCCCCTTCACTCGTGCCGCCCTGGGTGTTGCTGGCCATCCTGCAGGGTGCACAGCACTGTTGTTATGTCTGCCCTGTGTCTGCTGCATCAGCCCAAGGAAACCTTGGCCTGAGCCAATTTTGGGCACAGGTAGCAGGCATCCAGAGAGGGAAATGAACCATGCAGGGACATGGGGCAAGACAGATTTGATTCAGGGCACCTTCCCCCCAAATCAGAGTCCTCTGTGAGCACACACAGTGTCAGCTGGGTAGTAAAAAGCCTGTGGGACACAGGACATTTAACCGTGTTTTCTGCCCCAAAGTCTGATTTCCTATAGCTTGATTTGCCTACAAATGTTTTAGAACTCTTTACTCTCACAGAGGAACATCCCTTTCTAACTTATTTATTTCTTTGGATAGAAGAATATATTTTTTTCTGATATACAATCCAATAAGCCCCGAGACAGTTGTTACTGCACCCAGGTAACACACATATCCTTTTCTTAAGCAAACTTGGATGAAGGTACCTTGGACCTACCTTGTTACTCACCCCTTTTATCCTACCTATCTCATCCTCTCTTTGTGCTCCCTGGAGTTCAGCCCTGTGGGAATCAGAATTACAAGCAGGGGCTCTTATCAGATACAATGGCAGGGCTAGGGGAGTTGCCCTCCTCTCTAACTGTATCTTATCTATTGGCTTTTAGGATTTACTGTTCTAGGGGCTTGGTTGGCTGAGTTAGCTCTTTGGTTCATCAGAGAAACATTCCATATCTCTATACTTATCTAGGATAATAGTAAGGGGAAAACATATGAGGGCTAAGAATAAAACCAAGCCTGTCTGTCTCTCACTCTCTCTTTTATTCCCCCTTTTGCTTAATAGAATTGGACAGCCACATATCACTTCATTCATGGTCACTGTTGCATGCCAGGCAAGCTGTCGTGAACAGCATCATTTTCCTCTGAGACGATGTGATAGAAAGTCAAACGGCCACACATGGCGCTTTCAGGGCTTCTCACCAGGCTTCGAGAGTTCTCTACTCCTCTCCTACAGACACGGCTATCCCTGCTCTTCTGGGAGAAGTGACCCCTTGTGGCCCTGCTGCAGGGTGGTGGGCCCTGGTGGTCAGGTGTGTGCAGAAGACTGTGCCACCCCATTTTGCACCAGCCTTTGTTGGTTGGGGTCCCCTGACTTAGAATAAGGTAATTCATGAGCTGGGCCAAAATTTTCTTTAGATAATATGAATTAAAACTACAGACATGATTAAGGCACAACGAAAAACCAAGTCCATTTTTGACCACAGAGACAGGTAGAGTTGGGATCAGGTAGAGAGGACACTGTGGTTAACCACAGCCATATACATTCATTTAGGCTTATTGTTTATATGTTTATAAGTACTGGGCTGGATTCTCACATGCAAGATAGAGTTATAGAGCAACAGAAGAGTTTTTCTGAAAAAGCGGAGCTCTGGGGAAAGCAAAAACAGATCTTGCAAACTTCTCCGGCCTTACCTTATCTTACCAGGTACCATGTTCCCCCTCAAGCCAAACTTTTGACAGTTTCTGGAACTCAGTAGGATATTTGCTGCCTCAGGGCCTTTGCATATGTTTTTCTTTTGGCTAAAATGCTGTGCCCCAGAATTTTAGCATGGCTGGCAGTTCTCAGCCTCATCTGAAGGAGTTTCTATCCCATTTCGCAGAATTTCCCACATTACCCCATTTGTCTTTTATACCACATACGACAATCTGCATTTGTTCTGTTTATTTGCTTTTATTTTACTCTCTAAATCCCCCACAAGTAGGTAAGCAGGCACATGATGGCTATGGGAATGGGCTGTTTGTGTGAAGAAAATTAAAAGCCTGTAAATAAGATGGTCATACTTACGATCTAATGACAATCATCAGGCTATAGCCGAACACGCTGACCCCCACCATAAAGTAAGCCATGGGCAATCTGTACCTCAGCCACCCGATGGTCCTCTGGTCATTGTAGTAGCCGTAGAAGAGAGCAGAATATTTAATATAGCCCTGTGGGACAGCAAATCCAAATGCTCTGGGTTTGTGAGCTCAGCGCAGTCATCAGACACTTCCATTCTACCAGGCATTTCTTTCTCATGGGTTTAGCGGGAGTCTGAGGGGAGGAAGGAAGAGTTCTGGACGTTCTTGTTCTTTCCTTCACTTCCCCCAGTTGCTCCCGAGTCTATCCATGTCCCATGTCTCTCCCTCTTTCTTTTCTTCTCTTTTTTTCTCCATTTTACAGAGTGCATAGAGATATAAGACAGAGAGTGTTGTTAACATTCAGGATAGAATTAGGGATAAGGGGTGTGTGCGTGCAAACTTCTCCAGCCTTACCTTACCAGGTACCATGCTCCCTCTCAAGCCACACTGGTCTTTTGACAGTTTCTGGAACTCACTAGGATATTTACTGCCTCAGGGCCTTTGCACAGAAGTTTCCAAATTCTTACCCCGTCCCCAATCCCCATTCCTAGGGTCTTAAATTTAACATTCAAGAAGTAAATAGGAGTCTGGGAACTTTCTCAGTATTTCAGAACTTCTAAAGAAAACTATACCTGATAAGACTCACAGTTTAACCTGAACTTATACTTTTAAGTGTAATTAGGTATAATATTAACTTAGAATTTTAGCGCTTCTTTAATGTCTTTGCTGAATATAAAACGGGATTACCATTGAAAAAATTTGGTTGTTCTGGGTAACTAGAATGTTTCAACAGGAGTCTTTGGGTGAAATAAGGAACAAAGGGAATTTTTAGCAGTAGTATATCATCTTTAGCAGTAATATGTTGTAGTAGTATTATCTCATCCTTAGTGTATAGTCATTATTTGGAAAAATACTCTAGGTCACTTTCACACATTTCCGAGGGGTCTTGAATTCTGACTCTGACAGTGAAGGATGGCAACAGCAGTGACGTGTTGTTTGAATCATCACAGCCAGGCCTCCCAGCCTTGGGGACTCCTTAGAGCCTGCAGACCAAGCCACCGAGAGACGTGGGCGTGTGAGGATTCCAAAAGGAGGGAGGGGCGTTCCAGGCACAGGACCCTGAGCAAAAGCAGGAAGATACTGAAAATGTGTGATGCATTCAGGGACTTTCCCCTAAACTTGATAATATTGCGGCATAAAGCGTGAGGTCTTAGACAGAAAAGGGAATGGAGAGGTCGAGAGCAGCCAGGCCATGAACAGTTCTTTTGTAAACCCAATTCGGAATACTGGATTCTATTCCATTTAGGAATAAGTGAATATCAGAGATAAAGTATGACAAGGTCAGGTTTGCATTTTAGAAAGATCGCTCTAGCAGCAAAGGGAATGGAGACTGGAAGAGCCAAGCCAAGGCAGGAAGCAGAGGGAGAAGATTCTGACAGTGGTCCTGGGATAGTGTGGGATATCATCTAAAGGAGAGGTAAGCGAAATGCGGGAAAGGAAACCAATTCAAGAAATATTTAGTGGGCAGGCTCAGACTTAGTGATTGACAGGATGTGGTGAGAGGGTGGGGAAGAGGCAGTATAGGATGACTTCTAGGTTTCATACTTGAATAAATGGATGAAGAGTGGTTCCAATACAAGAGATGGAGAAAAGATGTGGGTTTGGTTGGATAGATGTTGGGATTTGAGGAGTAGTAGGGCATTTATTTGAAGGTACCATGTGACACCTTGGGGGAAGGCTCGAGTAGCAATAGCTTGTAAGAGCCAAGAGGGCTTAATGTAGGTATGGGGAGAGAAAATGATATTTTAAGATCAGCTTACATTGATCTTGCATAATGAAGAGAGCAGTGTCCCCATAGGGGCTCATATACATCAGAATGTGTGCCTGGAGAGAGGAACCTATAAAGGAGACCAAAGATGACATAGTTGGCTGGCTCATTTTGCATAGTGCTGGGATCCTATTTGATTAAAACACTGTTTTTTCAGTAATCAAATGCAACATGTCACACATATCCATGCAGACTTTAGAGCTCATAATCACAAAATGGAAGTGCATTGGCATGTTGACAACGGTACCTCAAAATCCCAAAGGACAGAAAAATCCATAGCTTTTTCTTCCTCAGCCCGAGGCACTGTCTTTCTGGGTATACTTCCATAGGGCATGCCCATCAGTACCTTTTGTAGGGACAGAATAACACAATTATATGTGGAGAAAATACGAATGCATGGATATTCATACACTGGGCTAGAGATTTTTCTTCTCATAATAGGACATATCCATTTTCTTCTTTAAGTGACATTAATCACATACCTGATTTTAAAAGTAACACACACTTTGTGTAGAAAATGTGAAAAAGTACAGAAGAGCATTTAAAAAATTAGCTATCACCTTCCTATCCCAAAGATAGTGACTGTTAGATAGTCATATAATCCCTTTCAGCTGTTTCTAAGTTTTATATATATTTTAGTCTGGTTATTTAGCTTATGACCAGTTCCCTATGTCATATGGTATTTCTCAAAATAAAATGACTTCAGAATATCTAATAACATGTATGTAACATAAACTTATTAATAAATCCCTATTGTTGGACATCGAAGTAATTCTAGTTCTTCACGTGTACATAATTCTGTTATTAATACCCTTTTATATGTGTCTTATTTGCATCCTTAATTATAAAAAAGTCAGAATTGTATTACACTGACATATTGATTTAGGAAGGATCAACATTTTTATGATGTTAAATTTTCCCTTCTAAGAATGTGTCCTCCTGTTTATTCAATTGTATTTTTGTCCTGAAATGTTTATAATAATCCTCATAGACATTTCCTAATTTGTTAAATTTATTACTAGATATTTCATAGATTTATTACTATTGTGAGTGTGAAATTTTTAAATTTTATTTCAAACTGGATATTGAGAGTATAGAAAATGTTGCTGATATTTGTTTATTTAAAATGGCTCCAGCAGTTTCAATATACTTTTCATTAATTCAAGTAACTTTTTGGGTATACAATATCACCTACAAACTAAAGTGATTTTGTATTTTTTTGTACAAAATGTATAAGTTTAATTTTCTTGACTTACTGCATTAGGTACAAATTTTAAAATAATGTTGAAAGTAGTGGGGGTGGGGCATACCATGTTGCTCTTGATTTTCAGAAACACAGGCTTTAGTATTTTACCATTTAATGTAACATTGCTTTTGTTTCTTATTAGTTTCATCATTTTTAGGTAATTCTATATTTCTTTTGGTTGGTTTTAAATTTATATTCTTATTAGGAAATATGTTGTATATGAAATAATATACACACACACATATATATGTATATATATGTGTATATCACACACACACATATATATGTGTGTGTATATGTATATATATGCGTGTATATATATATATACATATACATAGATGTGTATATATATGTGTGTGTGTGTATATATATATATATATACACACACACACACACACACACACACACACATAGTAAATAAGAAAATAGTAAAAAAGAAAATTAACTATGGTGTGTCCACTACCTAGTTTAAGAAAGAGAACATCATCAGGCTTTTATAACACCCTGGGTATGATCTTCCTGATTCACAGAAACTGTGAGATAATAAATAGTTGTTTTCAGCAGAAAATTTGGGGAGTATTTTTGTTACACAGCAATAGATAACTAATACAAACACAAATAACAGAAAAGAAATAATAATAGTAAAAATCAAGGCTATAGAAAATGAAGATACATAAGATAAAGACCTGAATGTGGATATTTACAGTAACTTTATTCATAGTAGCCCCAAACTGAGAACAACCCAAATGTCCATGAACTGTTGACCAGACAGCAAATTATGGTATATCCATATAATGGGATATTACTTAGCAATAAAGGAACAAAATATTGATACATGCAACAACATTGATGAATCTCAAAGACATTGTGCTAAGTGAAAGAGACCAGGCACAAAAAAATTACATACTACATGATTCTATTTATATGCTATTCTGGAAAAGGCAAAACTGGAGATAAGGAGAGGAGATTTGTCAGTTTACGGGCACAAGGAAACTTTTGGGGTGATGGAAATATTCTATATCTCAATTGTGGTGATGGTTACCTGACTGTATATATTTGTCATAACTCATTGAACTGTATATCTTATTTTTAGAGGCAGTATCAATATGAGGCTTACTGACTAAATGATGTTTATATGATCTTGAAAGCAGTGTTTATAAGATATTTTTAAGAATTAATTAATTAATTGATTAATGTACATCACCAATTATCAACCCTGGCTGCATATTAGAATAACCTATGGAGTTGTATGAGTCATCTATTGTTGTATAACAAATTACCCTAATACTTAGCAGCTTAAAACAACCACATTTATATCTGGAAGTTTCTGTGGGGCAGGAATCTGGGTGCCGCTTTGCTGGATTTGCTGCTGAGGGTCTCTCACAGACTACAGTCCAGATGTCTGCCAGGGCTGTGGTTTCATCTGAAGGTTTGTCAGTCCAGATTCTGCCAGGGCTGTGGTTTCATCTGAAGGTTTGTCTGGGGAAGGATCTGATTCTAAATGCACTCACGTATTTGCTGGCTAGATTTAGTTACTTATGGGTTGTTGGACTGAGGGCCTCAGTTCCTTGCTGGCTGCCCAAAGGCCACACTTAGTTCTTTACCAGGTAGGCCTCTCTAGTCTGGCAGTTTGCTTCATCAAAGTATGCAAGCCAAGAAGGGAATTGAAAGAGAATGCCACAAAGATGGAAGTCACGGTCTTTTATAACATAATCATGTAAGCGACAGCCTTTGGTTATAGTCTGTTGAAAGCATGTCACTAGGTCTAGGCTATATTCAAGGGGAGGAAGCTTATACAAAGGCTTGATACTGGGGGCAATCTTAGATATCTGCCTACAACAGAAGCTTTTAAAATAGGGATGTCACTATCATAGTCTCAGAGACTTAGATTCAATTGATTAGCCTAGGTCTAGGACCTGGTATTTTTAAAAAAACTCTCCACTTAATTTTCGCATGTAGTCAGTGTTGAGATGAGAAGTACATGAACTTGCTGTCCAGTAGGGCCTTGAAAGCCAGCACCTGCAGCATAACTTAAGATTCTCCAGGGATCATGTAGGTATCCTAGGCTCTGTAGGCAGTTGTCATGAAAGCTGAACAAGATTCACTCTAGCATTCAGAGCTGTTTAATTCCATTAAAATGGTATCAACGATTTGTGGCAAAGAAAGATGAGAATGAGTAGAATTCTGTTAAAGTTGCCTAACATTTGAGCACTTCTAATATTCTTATTCCCAGATCCTCTGATTCACCTGATTAGCTTTAAGACATTCATGAGTGGAGATATCTGATCATTAGGCTTATGCTGAAAACCCTTGGTCCCTGAAGTTATTTGTGTCTTTGGCCAACAGGGCAATTTGCAATGAGTTTGGATGTGTGTGATTCCCATGTGGCCAACTTCCCATTATCCTAACTAGGAAGCCATCTTGGGAAACCTGACATCCTTGACTGCTGTTATCCAACCTGTCATCAAGTTTTGTCTGTTCTACTTCTCTCTGGTTTTCTTTTAATCCATTCCCATTGGTAATACCCTGTCTGGGACTGAGCTATTGTATCAGGCTCTTAACTGGTCTTTGCCTCTTTCCCACTCTCCTAGTTGTACCCACTCCCTGCCCAGGGCTCCTCATTCCAGCCAACCCCACTCCTCTCTCCTTCCCCCAACCCTACTCCCGTTGACTTTCCCAATCACCATCCAATCCAGTCAAGGTGCTCTTGCCTGGACAGTTCTGGTCTTGGCTGCTTCATTGGAATATATCAACCTCTGTTTTCATTGTTTCAAACAAATGTCCCCCTTGATATGAAATATTTATAAATTGTACCAACTTATAAAAATTAAATAAAATTTAATGTTTTCTTTAAGAGAAAAACTCAGTGTCCTTAAAATTATCTGACTTTCCTCAAAGACTGCCTTTGTGGACCACCATATAGCAAAATTCCAGTAATGTCTCATTGGCCTACAGCATTTTAATGTTCTCTCTCCTCATGGAAATAAATCCATTTGGGATCAAAAACTCCCAGGAAGAAAGCAAAAGCTCTGTGAAGGTAAATTTTCCCAGTGGCTGCTGGGGAAACTGATACTTCCTTGGCTATGGAGGGAAGAAGTGAAACTTCTAGTTCATGTCTGATGATATTTTCCCCTTGGAGAGAACTAGGCTTGCGGCAAAACACTTGTACACACTTGTTGGAAGACTTAAAATCCTTATATCTACGTCAGAGAGTAACTGCAGCTTAAGGGTATACATGGGACTAAGTGAACTCATAACCCTAGTTTTCCAGGTGTATCTATAAAGACTAGTTAATGACATATTTGTAAGTATACTTTTAAAGTAATATAGAATTCAATATCCATAATAAGATTATATCTGAAGGAATAGTAAGGAGTGCTATTCAAATGCAATATTTTTTGGTAATAAATTATGATATAATGCATTCTATCCCTCTCCCTTTTTTTTTCAGGGTAAGAAAAGAAAAAAACTCACTGAGATATTAATCCTCCACTAATCTTAAAGTAAAATGAGAGGTAAAGAAATATAGTATCTGCCTCCTAATTCAGAAATACAAATATTTTGGTTCCATTTCTTTTTTGTACTGAGCTATCTGGGTAATTGATATGAGTACAGAATTTAAAAATGAATGACTGTTTCATTTTTTTGATAATGCCACCCTGAACGTGCCCAATCTTATCTGATCTCGGAAGCTAAGCAGGGTCGGGCCTGGTTAGTACTTGGATGGGAGACCACCTTGGAATACTAAGTGCTGTAGGTGTTAAAAAATATATATATAAATGAAGATGGTGGTCATGATAAGCCTCAATACTATCTAAAGATATAGGAAGTTCTTTTCTTACCTCTGGTATTATGACTAGACCAAATATTAAGCCAAAAAGGACGAGGTTAACACCATACATCCATCGGAGAAAGATGAAATATGATGCCACTGAAGAACCAAAGTGACCTAGAGAAGGAAAAGATGGTGGGATTTAAGTGTTACAGAAGGAGGAAGTTAATGGCACAGAGTACTCGATGTGTATGATGGATCCAGTTTTCAAGTCAGTCTGTGAAATGGACATTGTGATCTCCATTTGCTTTTTCCAGATCGGAAGCTAAGCAGGGTCGGGCCTGGTTAGTACTTGGATGGGAGACCACCTTGGAATACTAAGTGCTGTAGGTGTTAAAAAATATATATATAAATGAAGATGGTGGTCATGATAAGCCTCAATACTATCTAAAGATATAGGAAGTTCTTTTCTTACCTCTGGTATTATGACTAGACCAAATATTAAGCCAAAAAGGACGAGGTTAACACCATACATCCATCGGAGAAAGATGAAATATGATGCCACTGAAGAACCAAAGTGACCTAGAGAAGGAAAAGATGGTGGGATTTAAGTGTTACAGAAGGAGGAAGTTAATGGCACAGAGTACTCGATGTGTATGATGGATCCAGTTTTCAAGTCAGTCTGTGAAATGGACATTGTGATCTCCATTTGCTTTTTCCAGATAAATAACCAGAGGGTCTATGGACTTAACTGATATGCCTAAGCTCCCACAATCAGAAAGTGAAGAAGCACAATTTAAATCTTTTGTCTAACTAGCATTTTTAAAAAATACATCAGGACCTATATAATAATCTAATCAGAAGGTCAACAACACAATCCCAGCCCTTGGAAAACTCTTCGTTGAACCAACTAAAAACAGACACCAAAATACTCACTTTCAATGTCCTTGATCTTCATTTCCCAGGGAATACATTGAGTCTTGAAATTATCAAAGTCTCTCTTAAACTTGACCCATTTCTGAAATTAAACAGGTAACACTCTCAGTTCATTTACATGCTGCCTTGAGGCCTGGAGGGGCATGTCAGAGGTGCGCATTGATGTTGACTTGTCAACATGACATTGACATGTGGGTGAGGGTACCATCTTGGAGTTGCTCAGTCCAGGCTGCTAGAGGTGGATATTAAATCTTCAATTTCCAAAGTCAGACGTGGAGTGAGAAAGAAGCCATGACAACACAATACCTTGAATTTGTCTACAATGCTGACAAAATTTTAGGTTTGGACAGTTTATATATGAACTTAGATATTCTGTGTATAATTTCTGGTTTGGGGGATCAAATTGGGTTAGAAAGCTCTGATACAACTTCCTTTACCTTAAAACAAAAATTCAAGGGAAAAAAGAAATCTCATAATTCTCACACCACATTTGGCAGACAGCCAACTACCTAAATCTGATAGAAACTATTGCTAAACCATGATGCTGGCAAAACTGGTAGAGGCCGCAGCCCATGGTTTCCCATTTTTCTCTTGGTGAAACAATAGCCTGTTTTTTCCTGAAAGAAGTTAGAAGCCATCCTGCCCCTTTCCACAGTCTGTTCCTAGCTCCAACACTCAGAGTTTGTACCAGTCAGAAACATGAGTAGTTGCCTGTGTGCTGGCTGGGTGAACATTTGTCAACTCTTGAAGGGGCTGATCTCCAAAAGCCCCATTCCCTGGAAATAAATCCATTTGGAATGTTAAAAATGCATAGACAACAGCAGAGAAGTAGTAAGGAGAAGATCCTAAAGTCAGTTTATATTATTACGAAGGTATCCTAAGAACTCGTTCATAAAGGAAATGAGATTTTCTCTTATAAATTCACTAAAGGACAAAAGAGAAAATTTATCTGAAGGTTTTGATGATATCCTGATTGGGAGAGTACTACCTAAGGAAGGAAATCACCTTTCGAAGAGGGAGATGGTCACAGATGCAAAGGAAAAGAGGGGTCCATAAGCAAAAGACAGGTTGATAATAATGGCAAAGATATCCCGAAGGCAGGAAGGGAGGGATGTGGGAAATGGCAGACAGTGGACATTGGGCACTCCAGTCCCATTGCTTCATCTCCTTTTCTTAGTACTGATTCTGTGCTCAAATCATCTTTGGCTTATTTGGCTTCTTATGTAGGTCTGTCTATAAGGAAAGCATTTGCCCATCACCTGTGCTCTGAAGATTTTGGTTTCTATGGCAGTGATTTTTCATTGCAAACGAATAGACTGGACTTGAGATATGGCTTAGCTTCCCATATAACTAACTCACCTAAAAATAAAAGGCACTGCTGATGTGGATTTCAATTTTTCAGTTCTTTCACCACTTACGTCTCTTTGTAAATTAATGATCTGGCATCCAGTTTTATATATCAGTCTCATCAGCTCTATCAATGTGAGTCCTCCTTCGAGAGATGGATCTCCTGTCAGGGCACTGATAAAATCAATCCAAAATATAGGCTTGCAAGGCAGAGGGCCTACAGGAGTAGGGAACACTGCCAAGTGAGGCCTGGAAGACACAGCCTGCCAGTTGGTCACTTGGCAACCATCTGACAGCCCCTCAAGGCTGTGGGCATTTGGGCCTGAAAAGTGATACCCCGGAGATGGGGCAGAGCCAAAGGAAGCTTCTGGAAGAAGCTCTACTTGGAAGCTTTTATCCTTCATTGGTTTAGAGGATCAGAAAAGTGGGCTGGGGAGTGGGCAGGAGAAGACTCCCATACCCTTCTTCCTCAGGCTGTGTGAGATGGTAGCTGCTGCTCTGGGACTAGGTTATTAGTTGTGCATCTTGCTCTCCAGCTACATATAGGAAAAAAGATTTCAAATAGTAGTTGAACAAGACCCAGGCAAGCTATACATCTGGTCTGTGGAGGAAATCAGGATCTGAATGACTAAAAACAACCAGTGAAGCCTGAGAAATAGTACTGCAGAACAAAGAAAAGGGGACACCATGCTTTGAAATTTTTGGAAAGCAGTTCCTCTAGGATACATAAACAAATTTTGAGAAATGATTTAGCATTCTTAACGGATATAAGAAATATGACTTCTAGAGCAAAGGATAAAAATTTGAGATTTACAATATAGGTGAAATGTGGAAGGATTACAAAGTAGCTAAAAGTTCAGTAATAAAATGAAAATAAACATTATACTGTAATAGAGACAAGAAAATTGATTAAATGATATTGATAATAAACCTGAGAAATTTCTGAGAATGCAAAGAGGGAGAGAGAGCAAAGAATTAATAACAATGAGGGAAGGTAAATACAGGGCAGCCATCTTTTTCCAAAGGAAGAAGCTAGAACTATTTAGAAAGAAACACGATTGAACAAAATCATTTATCAAAGATATATTTAAAGAGCACAGTCTTCAGCTGGAAAGAAAAGATCTGAGTGTGCAGTTGTTAATTGGTAAATAGTTTCTAGATAAAATTAATAAAATGACTCATAGTAGTCAAGCAATTAAAACAGAAAAAGGAGAAAAATAATATTAGGAATAAAAAAGATTCAACCCCAATGTATACAGAAAATAATTACAAAAATTATGGGACCACCATCTGCAACTTTCTGGCAATGCATATGAAAATCTTAATGAAATGATCAAGTTTTGGGAAAAATATGAAATATCAAAATGGCCCCAAGTAAAAGTTAGAACATGAATAACCAGGGAATACATGACAAATTATCAAGGTATTCGATTAGAGTGGATGATTCATCAAACAATATTTAGGGTTTCGAAAATAAGAAATTAATATTGTTAATTTCATGAGTTTAGTTCTTCCCTGGAGAGGAAACGAGTGTCAAATATATAGAAACCCTCAAAGATAGGTGTAGAGAAATTGACAGGGTACAGCTGGTTTCCATTTCTGGATGAACTGATATGGTCAACTGGACCTCATGTTCAGGATTCTGGGGGAGCTGGACACAATGATGAGGCTGGGAGGTGCCTATCATGATGACCCAGATTCAGAATTTTGCAGCCTCTGTACCACACACCTTAGCCATCAGCATCTTATAGGCGTAGAGTCGCTTGCCTTTCCCCTTTCCCAAGGCTCCTTCATACTTCTCCACAAATTCTTGGGCCTCCCTGATTAGGAAAAAAAAAGGGGGCAGGAATTCAATTAATGTCCAACCAAAAGAAATCTGAACTATGATGGTGTCTATGTGGCTAAAAGCATTAAGTGTTTTTATACTCCTAGTTGAATTTAATTTCCATGAAGGAAGGGTATTTTGTCTGCTTTGTCCCTGAAATCTCCCAAATGCAAGCATAGTGCTTGCTTCCTACAGGGTAGGCACCTATAGGCAGAATTTTGGCTCTCATGACCTTTGCCCCATAGTGGTACACTCATGAATGGCAAAAGGGAATTTGCATATGTAAACATCACTCATTTTAAATAAGGAGATTATTTTGGATGATCTGAAAGGGCCCACTGTAATCACTTGAGCCCTTAAAAAGAGATGAGGAAGGCAGAAGAGTCAGAGGGAGAGATGTGGTAGAATGGAAAGCAGGGAAATTAGAAGTAGAATTCTCGACCCTTTGTTGCTCGGGCCCCTCTGGAAGATGATGCATTGAAAGTAAGAGAAAAAATGAATTCTGACAAAAATCAGTGGGCTTGGAAAAGAACCCAGATCCCCAGATGAGAATGCAGCCCTGCTGATACCTTGGTTTTAGCCCAGTAAGATCATGAGCAGAGAATTCAGCCATGCCATGCTGGACTTCTGACTGATAGAACTGTGAGCTAACAAATGAGTGTTGTCTTAAACTGTTAAGCTTATGGTAGTTTGTTACAGCAGCAACAGAAAGTGAATACGACATTCAGTAGATATTTGTGAATTGCATGAATGTTGAATGAGTGAGTGAACATCCAAGAAAGGTTGGATGAGAAACACATGGATCAATTAAATATCCTGGGGTGGTGAGGACTGGCTCCTGAGAACCTACTGTGAACTATTCAGGAACTTGGTCGACCAGTTGTTGAACTGTTAGGAGGTTGAAATTGACCATGGTGGCAGTATTTAGATCATGGAAATCAGCCAATGTTACAAAAAAGGACTTCCTCATCTTGCCCCCCAGAGAACTAGTTTATCAGCAACCACTGGATAAACCCAAACAGGTGGAAGAAGAATGAAGTCCATCTCAAGGTAGACAGAAGAGACGTGGTGGAGCTGTGTGTCTCACAGCTATTACTACAGCCCCCACAGCTCGCTACACCATACCTATACTACCTCCAAAGTGCACGTGCAGGCTGTTGACATGTATCAAAGTCACATTCTTTTTTTTTAAGGTGAGCCAACCCTTGGTTGACCTCACAAATTGCAAGGACCTTGTCAGTTTACAATCCCTTATTTTTTTTTATCTTTTACACCTACGGCACCTGGTCTTCCTAGGTGGTCTCCCATCCAAGTACTAACCAGGCCTGACCCTGCTTAGCTTCCGAGATCAGACAGGATCAGGCTTGTTCAGGGTAGCATGGCCATAGACCAAAGTCACATTCTAACCTGAGGTTAATCCAGAGGCTGGTTTTATTAGGGTATCTCAATGCTATCTCCATATTGATGAGGCCGACTGTCTAGGTCCTGAGCCCAGGGTCGACAGCTGGGTTGTATGGGATCAAAGCTCCATAATGGGATCAGCTCCCTGTTCCCCATTTAGGAAGGACATATCCTGGCAGTGAGTTTTCTGTGACTACCAACATCTCTGAGACACCAAAGTATGTTTTCCTGAAATTCGTATTTTTGTCTTTGTGTGTCCATCTTACGAGTGTGCAGAGGCTTGTAAGCTCTTGGAGTTTGTGAATTTAAATGTGCCAACCTTTAAGATTTGAGGACTTCAGATGAGAATTCTCAAAAGGGAAAGTCAGCTCTTGCACCTGAGCCATTGAGCCTGGCAGCAAATACTTTTCTTCTCGATGCCCAGACTGTGTCCAGATCCCCAGAGAGCCCTCAGGGGAAGGGCACCCAGCGCTGGGATCAAACTCCGAGGACCATTCCCTGTGAAGAGTCCACCTGGTTTAAGAATTTTGATGGAGGAACCTCTTGAGCATGTAGAGTCTCTGACTCGATCATGTATGTGGGGTTCCCATACATATGTATATATAAAATTTGTCTATTTTCTCTCTTTAAAAAAAAAAAAGAATTGTGATGGACACAGCAAGCTTTTCTGGATCTGGTGAAGGTATGTAAATAATAACTAATGTTTTTACAGCAAACTCCTTTAAACATGTTACCTGTGATCCAAACTATCATGTTTTTCCTTATCAGAGATAGTATTTGGTTTATAGAAACACTAACTCCTACACATCCCAGTTGTTGCAAATCTTACTTCTGTAAAGTGCTTCTGTTCCCTCCTTGTCAGCACTGTCCTTTCAGACAAAGGACAATGGCCAAATTTGAGAAATTCTCAGTCATTATTTCTTTGAAGACTTTCAGTCTCACCTTCTTTCTCTTTTTCTGGATTCCCTTTTCCCCCTTGATATCCAGGGCAAGGGATTTGGAGAAGACACTAATGTTAGATCGTTTATGATAGTCCCACACGTCTCCGAGGCTCTGTTCACTTTTCCCCCCAGAATATCTTCTCTCTGTTCAGATTGGGTAATTTCTCTTGTTCTATCTTCAACTTCACTTTTTTTTCACTCTGTTCTCTCCATTCTGCTGTTGAACCCATTCATTGAGTTTTTAAATTTTTCAGTTATTGTGTTTTTTACATCCAAAATTTCTAGTTGTTCATATTTATATCTTCTATTTCTTTTCTTAGACTTTCTATTTCTTCATTTGTTTCTTGTGTTCATAATATGATAGTTTCTTTACAATCTTTGTCAGATAATTCTAACATCTGTGCCATCTTGGTGTTAATGTCTGTTGACTGTCTTTTATTTTTTAGCTTCAGATCTTCCTGGTTCTTGGTATGATGGAGTGGTTTTTAACTGAAGCCTGGACATTTGGGATATTATGAGATTCTGGCTCTTATTTGAATCTTGTGTTTTAGCAGGTGTCCTTTGATACTGCTCCAGTAGGTAAAGAGTGATGCCATCTGGTTACTTCCAGGTAGAAATTTAGGTTCTTCATTTGACTTGTTTTGACACCCAAGAGCTCCTTGTTACTGCCAAGCAGGGATGGGAGTTCGGGCTCCCCGACCAGGTTTCTGCTCACGTCATCCTAAGGAGGAGGGACATCTTGTTATTGCCAGGTGGTGATAAAAGTCCACACTCTCCATGTGGCCTCCACTCACACCAGTGAGAGAGGGAGAGAGAGGACTCATTACTGCCTAGTGGAGATGAAAGCTTCTGCTCCCCACTCAGTCTTCTTTGCACCACCCTGGTGGGGATGTTGGAGGTGCCATGTTATAATCTGGCAAGGGAAGAAAATCTAGCTTTCTCCACTTGGCTTTTATCCACTTGGCTGGGTGGGGCTGCTGTTTTGTTTGTGGGGTTTGGCTGGAATAGGGTTGTTATTGTCTAGAAGTTTTCTGTCTTGCCAGGCTGTCCCTTTCTTGGTCCTTTGACCAGAGAGAGCAGGCTTTTCTTTAGGAAATTTTTTTGTTTATGGTTGTCGTTGTTTCTGGGTTGCCAGCTTCTCCAGTCTGGGATATATAGGCAAAAAGAAACAAACCCTAGAACTCAATGCCCTGTCATTCCCTTGGTCCTGAGGTTCTTAGTTAGTCTGCCTCCTTCTCTATACCTTTTTGAGTCTCCTTATGTTTGCTTTACATGTAATGTCCAGGGTTTTACTTAGTGGGTATGTCTACTCTTTGTACTTAGTGGGTATGTCTACTCTGTCTTCCCGGAAGTGGAATTCTTCATCTCTTGAAAGAAAGCAAACAGTTTGGATAATTTTCTAATTATCAGACAAAGCTAAGGGATACACTTGGTTAATTTAACGATTAAAGCAAACATCCCTGACTCATGGGCACTTGAAGCTCTTTTGCTAACACCACAGCCCACCTTTTGTCATTATTAATTCTTTCCATTAATAATATCTTTTCTGATTCATCTCTGTTCCCCATCCTCATCTCTCAGGGCTCAGCATGGTGTCTGGCAGAAAAGATGTTCAAGCTTTAATCATAGCAATAACTACTGTTTATCAATCGCATATTATGTGCTGGGCACTTAATATAAATATTTTTAATTTGTCAGAACAACTCTGCAAGGTAGAAATTATTATTCCTATTTTACAAATGAGGAGTGTGAGGCTCATAGAGGTTAAGAGAAGGAAATCAGACGGACAGGATTTGAATAGCCACCCAGATGTGGTGGAAGGTGAACATGGGCTTGCCCCAACTCAGTGCTATTGCTCTTTATGCCTTGCCATCCTTCTTCTACTGTCTACAACAGCTATGCCCAGGTCAGCCAGCTGCCTGAGGTCCCCACACCATTGCTTCTAAAAAAAGAGGATACAGTCTGGAGACGCTATCTGCAGCTGAAGACTTCATTGCCAGAAGAGCAAATCATACAGGAGGCAAAGGGGTACATTCCAGAATGTCTAGTAATTCTGGAGAGGTGATTACAAATTAAGAGCGCAGGTTCTGGAGACAAAATTCCTGAATTCAAATCCTGGCCAGGGCACTTAACTCGCTGTGTGAACTTGGACAAATTACTAGATTGTTCTGTGTCACAGTTTGCTCGTCATTAAAATGGGGACAGTCATATAGTACTACCTGCACCACAGGGTGGTTATGAGGATGGAATGAATTGTTACACATACAGCATTCAGAACAGTGCCCAGCACATAGGGAGCACATGTTGGCTATATATAAAAAAGAAAGAATATTAGTAGATGAATAAGACACATGTTGGCTATATATAAAAAAGAAAGAATATTAGTAGATGAATAAGACATGGTTCTGTAAATAAGAGCACCCAATCAAGTGAGTGGACAGTGCCTTGGGGATCAGAGGGCCAGTAAATAACTCCGCCTGAATGCGGAGAGGAGCAATGGAGGCTTCCTCGCAAAGGGGACGTGTGGTCCCAGCCTTACTGGTGTGTATGAATTAGCCAGGTGGGCTGGCAGAAAGCAGAGACCTAGGAACAGGCACAGGATGGAGGGGAACCTCAGAGGCTAGAGAGCCTTAGATTTTAGTCTGGGAGAGGGAAGAAGAAGGAGGGAAAAAGGAGGAGGGAGGAGCCTTGCCCCGGTGAGCCAGTGAGAGACAAGTCTTTTCACTGTCTCAGGCCCTAGCCACTTCCCACCCCCACCAAGGGCAGGAATCGCCTGGCGGGGATGTCGGACTTCTCCTCTGGGCAGCTAAAGAGCCCTGGGGGATTTTCAAGGTTCCTGAGACTTTCAACCAGCTAGAGATCTCATTTCCATAAGCATCAAGTTTGCTCTTTTTCCACCATTAATAAAAGATGTGTTCAGGTGACACGTGAGTAGTGGTGACGTTCTGTTAGAGTGACAGAAAGCTGTACTACTCCGGCTAACAGGAGGAAGAATCTGGCCCTGAGGGAGCAGGGGGAAGACACTCAGACAAAGGGCAGCTGGCCACTGCCCAGCGCTGTACCTGAAGCTCAAACCGTAGCCATTTAATTCAATATATTAAAAAATTACACTTTCGATATGTAATTAATATAAAAAATTATTGATGAGATATTTTACATTCTTTTTGTACTGTCTTCCAAATCCAGTGCTCATCTCGCACCACATGTGATGATTTAAATTTAAATAAATTAAAATATAATAAAAAATTCATTTTCTCAATCGCACTATCTACTTTTCAAGTGCTCTGTAGCCACATGTGGCTATTGGCTGCTCTGTTAGTGCAGATTTAGAGCCTTTCCATCATCCCAGAAGCTCTGAGGGTCGGCACTGGCCTGGAGGCATGGCAGGCAGGCAGTTCTCCCTGCAGTCACGTAGGAGACAATGTACTAATTTGCAGGGCAGTGGAGTAAGCTCTGCCTGAACCCTTGTCAGGGTCTGCATTGGCTTTGTGCAGCCAACATCTTTGCTATGCCTTTTGGGGGCAAACACACATAAGTCTTCTAGATTGTTCTATGTAAGAAAAGGGGAGGCGTTGACTTGAACAATGAGGAAACTCAGGTGTGAGAGGAGCCAGGAAAAATGGCTTTCTAGAGGAAAGAGGAAAGGAAGTTTTACCTCCACACCTGTGGCAGAAACAATCAAGAAAGACTTGGGGAAAATGATAATGTTGGATGGAAATTTTTAGGAGAAAACCAGAAGTTAATCAATGAGACTCCTGCCCTTATCTCAAAACTACAGTAGAGAGTCAAGAATCACCAAATGCTTGGTGTGCCAGCCTTTCATATGGAAACCAGAGAAGCTTCTGAGTTGAAAATAGGAGTCAGGGGCATGGGTAGAGGCCAGAGCAATATTCACAGAGCATCATTGCATGCTTGGCCTTGTGTTAGGCACTTGGGACACGAGAATAGTGGAGACAGACGCCCTCCTTGCTCTCCACGAGTGGGAGTGTGCTACATATGGAGAGATTCTGGGCACTTAAAGAACACAGAGAGGTCTGTCTGAATTTGTTGAGGTCGGGGATCATAGAAAGCCTCCAAGGAAGGCATGTCTGTGTTGGGTTGTGAGGGAGGCACAGAAACCACCAGCTGAGGTGGGGTACGAGACAGAAGGGGCAGCCAGGCAGTGAAGGGACATAGCTAGAGCACCATGATCTTTCCTTTCTCTCACCTGGCCCTGCTCAATGGCCAACAGCAGGGTCTCAATCAACAGCCCTGGCCCACCCTCGTCTCGGCTATAACACCAACCACCTCAGCACTGTGTTTGTGCAGGGGACACAGGGGAGAGGGGGACCAAAGCAGAGTGGGAGGGTGAATCCCCCTTCCTGTTAGGCCCCTTGCAGCAGAGAGGAGGATGTCCCCCGTCCTCAGAAGGAGCGGAGCCTTTAGACATTGAGAGGCCCTGGCCGCCAGCGCCTGCTCACCTGAGCTCCGTGAGCTTCTTTGTCATGGGCCAGGGCTTGTTGCGCATGGTAGCAATGAGCTTCTTCTTGTCTTCTACCTGCTCCAAGATCCGGGCCAGCTCCTCCTCCGACAGAGATGCCCTGCCAGAGGTACCGGAGGCTACAGAAGGTGATCTGAAGGAAAGCCAGGGCGGAGCAGAAAAGAATGAAAAGGAGGCTAGCGGGGAATGTGGACCAGCCCAGAGCTCGACAGGAAGGTGGGCTATGCTCCCGACACTCACAGCTCTGACCACCCCTCACACGCCTGCCCCTGCTCAGAAGCCCTCACTGACGCCCCCTGCCTGTCAGAGGAGGCCACAACTCTGTCCAGTAGCCCAAGGCACTTGGAGGGCTGTCTCTCCAAACTCAATTTCTTTGAGTCCTCCCCATAAACCACACTATAGCACAGTGCTTCCCAGTAGAAATATAACATGAACTATGTACTATAATTTTGAATGTTCTAGTAGCCCACATTAAAATGGTAAAAGGAAATGGGTAAAATTAATTTGAATAATGCATTTTATTTATCCAAAAATTATAATTTCAACATGTAATCAATATAGAAATTATTGAGATATTTTACATTCTTTTTGTACTGTCTTCAAAATTCAGTGTTCATCTTACATTCACAGTGCATGTCAATTCAGACAATAAATTTTCATTGAACATATTTAATCTGTTATTCGAATTTAATAAAATTTATAGTTGAAAAAAAGTAGACTCACATACCCAAATTGTTTGACATACTTAAAAGTTTCATGATAAATGAATCAAGTAGAATATAAGTTTCCTTTGACATTCCCATCTGTACCGACAAAATAATTTTTCTTTTTAGAAGAAATGCTCTGGCTTCAAATTTAAATTGATTTACATCTGTCTGTCTAGGTTAAGTAAGTTTACTAACTCTCGTGTCAACTCAGTAATATTAACATTGAATTAAAATTAAATTAAATCAGAAATTCAGTTTTTTGGTCACACTAGCCATATTTCAAGTGCCCAACGTGCGGCTGGCGGCTAGTGCATTGAACAGCACAGCTGCGGAGAACGTCCTGCTGGAAACCCAGTCATGTGATGACCCTCAGCATCTCACAGACAAAACAATGTGCTTGGCTACCACAAATTCAAGTTCTTGTGTGTGCTCCTTACAGCCTCTTTCACTCATAGAAACAATGACTCTCAGCTGAGGGTGAGGGGTGTAATGAGGGAGGGGCTAGGAAGGATTCTGCCAGGGCAGCCTTCTCAGCAACGTTCATAAATGGAAATATCAGAATATGGGCTTAGGTTTACCCCTGGCGCTAGAGACCAGTTTGCAGCAGCCTCCCTTAGTGTCGGCTTCTGATGAGCTCCTGAGGAGCAAAGGAGAAGTCATAGGAAGGAGGTGGAAAGAAGAGGCCCTTAGCTCTTGAACACTGGAAAGCTTAGAGCACAGGGATTTTTTGCCACTCCTAATGCACACCCCCTGATAGCTGCCTTTGAGTCTTTGTATAGGGTGTTCCCTCAGTCTAGGGGGCATTCAGTCATTGCTTGTTCCAATTCTACTTGTGCTTCAAAAGACTTATTAAAATGCTTATCTTCTCCTTGGAGGAACCCTGGTGCCCAGCCCCTCATCAAATCCTTTCTCATATGAATATTGCTTTCTGTATCATCTTATGGTGACTGATGCCCTGCTATACTGTCAGCATCTGGGGAACAGGGCTGAGTCTTTTTCATTCCTCTGTGCCCTGCCATGGCATCAGTGAAAAATGGCATTAAGGAGTCCTTGTCTGTACCCCTTACTTTGCATCTGCCATCAGGACCCCTGTGGTCCATTTAGGACGGTGCAAATCTCCCTCTAAAGTTCAAGACACACTGGGGCCCATCGATGATGCATTCAAGTTCTCTTTAAGTTGCTAAGGGCACTATGCATCCTTTATCATGTCCAGGGACAACCAGACAGTAGACAAAAGCCCTAACTGAGCTGGGGAGGGCTGGCATGGGTGACAGGAAATCTGCAGCCCCATTTGAGGGCCTGAGTCTTGTCTCCTTAAAGGTGGACGGGTACATTGAGTGACAACTGAGGGTGTGGGCAAAGAGGGTTTATCAGAATCCAGTGGGGAGGAGCTTCGACTTTACCATAATCCTGAGACCTCCAATTGTTTCAAAAACCTTCCCACCCATTACCAACAGGCATTCTTAAAACATCCTGAGAAGTGAGGAAAGCAAAATAGAGAGGCAAAGAGAGGGAGATGTCCCATCAAAACTGGGAGCAGAACATAGAAATAAAATTCCTCCTCGCTGACTCTGTCCATCACCCATGTGTGCTAATGCTAATGAACAAAGGAAACGAAACAGAGAGAGCAAACCCCCAAATTCTAGAATTTCAGAGCTAGTGGAACCCTTGAAATCCTTTGAGATCAATGCTCCATTTTACAGAAGAGGACATGGATCCAGATTGGAAAAATATGCTTAAAGCCCTCCGATGAGTCCTAAGTCCAATTTTGTTCATTTTTCTCATGTCCCCTGCGAGAGCTGTGGTGAGTTACCCGCTGAAATTCAGGAGACTTGGGGTTTGCCCCACCCCGCTCATGTCACATCCCACTGGGAGTTTCCACTTGCATTGGTTCAACGTGAGGCTTTGGAGTCAAGCGTGCCCAGTGATCACTACACCTGAATGGCTGTATTCTCCTCCTTGTTCTGCCCCAGAGGCAGAGAGCTGGACAGTGGCAAAGGGGGCAAAGAGAAAGCAGGGGTCACCTATTCACAAAGGAGAGGACATGGGTCCCTCGTCAGGGGAGGGAGAAGGGCCTGAAAGGAAGGAGAGCACACTTGAAGACGCACCTGAATCAGGCACAACACACCTGTGTTTCTTCCGCTGCTTCCGTATCTCTTCCTTCCTCTGCATCTCCTTTTCCTTCTTCAGGGGTGCTTTCTGCTCCTTGAAAGAAGTCCTCCCATCCCTCTTCCTCCTCCCCTCAAGAGTCCTCTCTGAAGTGCTCCGCTTCCATTCCCCCAGCTCCTCTCGTCTTCTGTGCTCTGCCTGCTTCCTCCTGGGGGAGCCCGCCCTTGGGCTGCCACTGGCCTGCTCCTTCTGGCCAGGTGGGTCTCTGCACCTGCCCGCCACACCCTTGGCTTTGGGGGCCTGCTTCCTGGAGGGTCTCCTCCCAGACCTGTCACCTGCAGGGGCAGGAAATGGACAGTTCTAACCTCACTGACCTCAACCCCAGGAGAATGTCTCCAGCTATGAGAAACTGGATGTTCAAGATGCTTCCTAAGGCTTATTGGCTCCAAAGGCCACCTCTTTTGGAGCCTTTGGTCTGGGATGAGATTAGTGTCTCCCTCCTTTGACCAGTTGGCACTCCCATACCCTTGCTTCACCTCATGCCTTTCCTTTTCCTGTGTGTGCAGTCCCTTGGGGTCAGAGCTGAGTCATCTCCTGACCCCCAGGGTCAAGGCCAAGCATAGGCCTCTGTTTAATAAGGCTGGACCACTGAGACAGGAAGGGCCTGGCTGCCTCCACTCTGTAGGGTTTGCCTCCTCACATGCCTCTGCCTGGCATGAGGGGAAGGGTAGGAAGTGGGAGCAGCAGAGCTGGTTCAGGCCCTGTTCCTCAACACTGCCATGCAGGGCCATAGGTTCAGTCAAGAGCCAGAGGGAGAGAAGGAACATATGGGCAAGAGCCTTTATTGTAGTTTCCAAGAGAAGGAATGAGTGAGGCAGGGTAAGCAGGATTAGAGTTAACCATTTTGAATAATTTCAAAAATATCCAGAATAGCCAACATAATACTGAAGGAGAAGAACGAAGTTGGAAGATAGACACTATTTAACTTCAAGACTTATTATAAAGCTACAGTAATCAAGACGGTGTGGTATTAGTGAAAAGACAGACAAATAGATCAATGTAACAGAGCAGAGAGCCCAGAAATAGACTCACATAAATGGTGCCAGAACAACTGGATATTGCATTATGTGCAAAAAAAAAAAAAAAAAAAAAAAATCATAATAATCTAGACATAGACCTTCTACCTTTTACAAAAATTAACTCAAAGTGAACCATAGATCTGAATGTAAAATGCAAGATATAAAATTCTTAGTTAATAACACAAGAGAAAATCTAGGTGATCTTGGGTTTTGTAGACATTTTAGATACGACACCTAAAGCATGACCTATGAAAGAAAAACTGATAAATTGGACTTCATTAAAATTAAAAAGTTCTGCTCTGCAAAAGACACTGTTAAGAAAACAAAAAGACAAGCCACAGGCTGGAAGAAAACATTTGCAAAACAAATATCTGACAAAGGATTTGTATCCAAAGTATACAACAAATTATTAAAACTCAACAATAAGAAAGCAACTCAATTTGAAAATGGGCAAATAATCTGAACAGATAACTCCCCAAAAGAATACACAAATGGTAGATAAGCATACGGAAAGATGTGAACATCATATGTCATCAGGAAATTGAGGATTAAAACAAGGAGATACTACTATATACTTATTAGAAGGACTAAATCGAATAGACTAACCACATCAATTGCTCATGAGGATGTGGAGCAACAGGAACTCTCAATAATTGCTAGCAGGAGTGTGAAATGTTATAGCCACTTTGGAAAACAGTTTGGCAGTTCCTTACAATGCTAACATAGGTTTACCATAGAATTCAGCAATCACACTGATAGGTGTTCACCCAGATGAATTGAAAATTTGTGTCCACCAAAAATCTGCACATAAATGTTTATATCCGCTTTATTTATAATTATAGTCGGAGGCAAATAAGATAAATAAGATGTCCTTCAGTAGGTGAATGGATAAACAAACTGGTAATCCAGACAATGGGATATTATTCACTGATAAATGAAATGAGCTATTGTGCCATAAAAAGACATAGAGGAATCTGAAATGCATATTTGTAAGTGAAAGACAGTCTGAAAAGGCTATATACTCTATGATTGCACCTAAATGACATTCTGAAAAAGACAAAACTATAGAGACAGTAAAAAGATCAGTGGAAGGGGAGGGGAAGAGGAATGATAGGTGGAGCACAGGGCATTATTTTTGGATACACTAGTTTGCACGATACTGTAATGGAGGATGCATGACATTATGCATTTGTCAAAACTCATATACACAATGCAAAGAGTAAACCCTGATGAAAACTGTGGACTTTAGCTAATAATAAGGTATTAATATTGGTTGATCAGTTGTAACAAACGCAGCACACTAATACAAAGTGTTAATGATAGGGGAAGCTGCGGGGCAGGAGAGAGAGGAAGAAAGAAGATTGTATATGAGAACTCTCTGAATTTTCTACTCAATTTGTCTATACATCTAAAACTGTTCAGCTTGGGCTGAAGAATGACCACAAAGACTGAGGACTGAAACCATCTACCCCGCACTCTTCCTGGACACGGGGAACCAAACTATACCTTAGTGTCTACATTAAGATGACTTGGTGTTATGCTTCTGTCTTCATTAGCGTGACTATTTTTCCAGAAGCTTCCTGCTCAAGCAAATGGCTTAATTGCTCATTACAGGATTTCCACAAAGATCCATCAACTCTTCAATGAAAAAAAATCACAATTTGTACCCTAAGATGCTTTTAATGTTTTACCTCCAAATCCTGGCCTTGTTATTTACTGTGGACTGTTATATTATGATTCTTACCCAATCCTAACCAAGTCCCCACTTTGAAAGAACTGCCCAAGTCAAACTTTTAATTCTCATTAAATTCTGACCTTACCTTCCCCTCTCTGAGAAACTGCCAAAACTCTGCCTGTAAGCAATAAATCAGCTTTGGGTGTAAGCAATAAATCATCTTTGTCTCATCAACGAGTTGTGTTCTTGATATTCAGGGAGCCAGATTTTGACAGCAAAACATATTTTATTTTTTTGAAAAAAAGGAATAAATAGTAGACTAAAAATAAAAGGCCATGGAAATAAGAGAGAGTGATGAATTATAATTGGGGTGATTGGATATGTTTCACAAAAGATTAATGTTTACTCTGAATCTTGAAGGATGAACAGGAGTTTATCAAGAGAAGAAAGGGGTAGAGATGGTCGTGGGGGGGGTCACAAAATGGGAGAATTCTGGGCAGAGGAAACAGAGGATTGAAGGGCCCCAATGGAAATGCCAAGGAGTCTGGGGCATGGGTGACTAAGGCGGGGCTGAGCCTTGGGTACCATCTGGCACTGGGGTGAGGAATGTGGAGGGAAGAGGTTGCCCAGAGAGCAGTACGTGCCCATGGGAAGCTGGGTGGACATCTGGAGGGTGAGGCTGTAATACTGGTGCATGCTTTGAGGGCGTGGTCTGCACCAATGGATCATGCTAGCAGCACTGAAGAGGCTGTTGTGGGGTGGGGACACTGGTTCCCAGTCACTGTAGAGCCCTGTGAGCACGTTTTACTTGCTGTGAAGGCAAGAATAGGCATCAAGCGTGGGTCTGACTCCACCATTAACAATCTCCTTGGTTTGGGGACTTGGTTTCCAGTCTCTGTGATTACTTCTGGGCCAGATGAGATAACTGGTGTAAGCACTTAGAACAGTACTGAGTGCTATTTACAGACTCAAAGACAGTCAATCCTATGTGTGACAAGACAAGTTTTCTTCACCCAGTGCTACCCAACCTCTTTCTTCTCCTTCTCATCTCCTATGAGAAAAAGGTTTTTGGTAAGACAACGTAAAGAAAGATTATTTAAACATAATAACAACTCATCTAGGTTAGGAAGCTGGTTAGTATCAGCCAGCGAGAGATGGTTTGTCTTGTAGATGCTCTTCCCCATGGCTCTTGGAGGCTTCAGCCCCCTCTTGGAGGAGGATTGGTCAGAAATGAATTCACTCCCTCCAAAGACATGGGATCGTATATGGGGAAATGTGTGTCACTGTAGCTGTGACCTCAAGGAGAGCCCTAGAACTGAGCTAGGCTCTCAGAGAGTACAGAGGAGCAGAGAGAGTGGGCGAGGGATTAAAAAGAGTCTCCTGGGTCTCTATCCAAGATCGGCTCCATATGGCTTGAAAGGACTGGATAAGAAAGTCAATATATGCTTGCATCCTCTTCTGAATTCTGTGTGTCCTCAGGCACCTAATAAAATGGTTTTCTCAGTAATGAGTTCTTTTCTAAGTACTGAGTTCTTGGTACAGTTAACTGTACAGATAACTCGGAGAGTTCAAACATTTTTTTCCCAAGCTACAGCTCCTGTTGTAATCTCATTTCCCAGCTGAACAAAATTCATGTGGACTGTGGAAAGCAAGCTTGAATTTGCCCTTCAATCTTCCCAACCTTTCCTGCACAGAGAACGAGCTGCTGTTTTAGTTTTTTAATGTGTGTATATATATGTATATATATACACATATTAAATATTATGCATTACATAAACAAATTATGCATTACGTAAAGTCATTCAAAATTGACTCTCTCTCTCTCTCTATATATATATACATATATATGTACATATGACTCTCTCTCTCTATGTACATATATACATACATATATATGTACATATATGTGTGTGTGTGTGTGTGTGTGTGTGTGTGTATATATATATATATATAAAGAAGACTTCCTGTAATTATCTTCTTCAATAAATGTGAGAAGTTGCCACCTTGCAACAACACAGTCAGAGTAACCTAGAGAGAGAGAGAGAGAGAGAGAGAGAGAGAGAGTCAATTTTGAATGACTTTACGTAATGCATAATTCAGGAGCTGGACAGGCAGCTGCCACATTAGGAAGACCTGCAAGCCCAGTACGCACTCCCTTCCATGTAACAGGCCTCCTTGCGTTTATGCACCTGAATGGAGCATAAACAGATAATTCAGAGTGAAAAACAGGCTGAGGAGAAGCTGCAAGGACCAGCAGGTCCAGCTCACCCTCCGACTCAGTGACCTTAACAGTTAAGTACATTCATGAAATGATACGGGAGGAGGGAGAGTTCTGACTCTCCTTTTCAACTAATGGAATAATAAAGTGTTATTATTTTGAGAAAGACCTTTGTATTTTCAGAGATTTTTCTTTTTTCATCTCCTTGTAGAACATAAGCCCAAGGAATAGAGTATCAGTTCCCTTCAGAGGTGATTCCAGAGGAGATTTTAAACAGGAATCTTTGGGTAATTGGGTTTCAGTTAATTTAACAGATTCCTATGATTTAACTTCACTGAATCCCTTGATAATTTGGATCCCTGAAGTGAAAATTATGACCCATTTCCTCTTCCCTATGGGGAAGGGAAAATTGCAAGGGGGAGGGCGTGCGTGTACTTTGCGGAGGTTAAGAGTGTGCCATCTGGAGTCAGGTGGCCTGGGTGTCAGTGAGTCCTGGCTCCACCACCTACCAGCTGCCTGGACCTCACTTCCCTGGCCTCCAGCCTGGTGAGTGTTCACTACTTACCAAGACTCAACTCAAAGTGTCACCAACTCTGGGTGTCTGCTCTGACACCCAGGGCTGAGGGTAGGCCCTTCCTGTGCAGCATCTGTCCCCTCCCTGCACAATTAAACCTCCTGCTTGGGAAGCTTCCTTACAAAGAGAGGGAGGAGGGAGAGTGGGGAAAGGGAAGGATGGAAGGAAGAAGGAGGATGAAAGAGATGGTGGCTGAATTGCCAGCCTAAGCCAGCACTGCAGGCTCCCCAGGCACACATCACCCCATCTCACCTGTGCCTGGAGATCCGTTCTTCATCCTCCCTCTTCTTCCACCTTCTGCTGTAAGAGATGGACAGGAATGAATGGCTGACCTCTAGAAAGTCCCCTTCCCTGTACCACCCCATTCACTATGGGAACCCTCAGCTGGTTTACAGCTGCCTCAGATGGGAACCTGGCTCCCATTATTTTAGTAACAAGCTCCAGAGTCTCGAGTCTTGACGTTTCTCTGACACCCTTGAAAAGTCGAGGTCAGAACAACCCCACAACCTCCTTCCCCAGACAGACAGAAAGGCAGACAGACAAATCGGCTGAAGGGATTGCTAAGGATAAGTGATAAAAAGACCTTGGTTGGCTCTGACCGCCTCTGTGGCTCAGCGGTAACACAGGCACTGTGCACAGTGCTTTGCATATGTCCTTTTTTGAACCCACCCAAAGGCCCTGCAAAAAATGATGGCTGCCTTCATCTCAGGATGAGGCAGGGGGAGGTTGGATATCTGGACTGAGGTGGCTGAGTAAGCAAGTGGCAGGCTCAGCGCTCAAACCTGGGTCCCTGTGCCTCTTAAGACCCCTCTGCTTCCCAGTCCCCGGCTACTGCCCAAGAACTCTGTGGGTGGGCCCCTTGGAGATAGGGACCAACTCACCTTCCCCCAGGCCCTTTAGTTGGCGACTCATGGTCAGTGGGGCTGATTCGGCCCCCACACTGGCTCACGCGGCTTGCTGGTCTACATGAACCTTCAACCTGGCCTGCTTTCCTGCCCTCATGGTGACTGGCCTCCCTTCCCAGGTGCAGGCAGCCAGGGCTCCGTGGCTTGGACTGAATGCGGAGGTGGGTGAAGTGGGAGTCAGGAAAGAGGTGAGGCTGTGAGTTCCCAGTCCTTCAATCCTGCCGCACACTCCTCACCTCAGGTTTCCCTGGAGAGAGGCTGGTGTGGCCTCATGTTTCAAGCATCGCTTACAATGAAGGGGCCCTGGAGCGGCTGGAGTTGTCAGCTCATCCCTGGCCAGGGAAGGTGTGAGGAGCATTCCAGGGCCCTTTCCCTCTACCCTGTCCCTGGTTAGGACAAGGCACCAAGGAAGTTCTAGGACATTTGTGAAAGTTATCACCAGGATTCTTTAAAATGCAGATTCCCAGGACTACCACTGGGCTTTTGAATCAGTAGGTCTGGGCGGGGCCCCAGGACTCTGCACTCTGAATCCTGACTCAGGGGTCTTGAAGCTGCATGCTCACCTACCAGAACTCCGCCCATTGCTGCCCGGCTTCAGAAAGGTAACTTTGGCTACTTTGAAAACTGTGACCAGAGTTTCAGAGTTGACCATCTGGAAGGCAGTTAAGGCCCTGGAGTGGGGTTCTTAACCTAGAGGAAAACAGTACATTTTAATTTTTTTGTAGTTTTTAACTGAAATTTAGCATTTCCCTAACAATGTGTGATTTTGTCCCCAATAGAAGTCATGGATCTTTTCACAGTACATTAAGTTGTTGGGGATATCTCAAAAAATCATGTATGCTGCCACTAGATCTTATTAACTATTAGGAAGCACCTGTGTCATTGTACGACAGGTTTTAAAAACTATTTTGATACCTATTTCAGGATTTTAGGTCTCCTTTGTAATCCAGTATTTTATCTTATGGATTTAAAATCAATGTTTGATGAAGAGGTCTGTGCCTCTTATCAGGATTCTGTGACACACAACACAGGATTAAAAACCTGCCCCAAGGCAAATCTCACGTAGGTGTCCAGACAGACCCAGCCTCGGACCCTCTGGTGACTTTGGTAAAGGAGCAAAATAACCATCACATGTAGTAATGTGTAAAACGCATGCATGACGTTAAGCTCGAGCTTTGAAACTTTTCTCTTTGTCACCTCACCTTTCTCCCTGATCTGATGGTTTATGTAGCACCTCCCAACCCCAGGCAATGAGAGAACTCTCACTTGCGTTCTCTGTCCTCTAGCTCTAGCTCTGGGGCCCTAGGATGCCTGCAGCTGTCCCCTCTCCTAGCTGGGGTAACCCTACTGCAGGGCCGGTACTCACCCCAGTGCTGACTGGGCAGCAACAGGCCACCAGCCCAAAGGACCGAAGGTCAGCTATCAGCTCTCCCACACCGTTTCTCTGTTCCCTGATGAGTGAGGGCCCTCACAGCAGCCCTTTGCCTTGCCCTTCCTGGTTCTCTCTTATCAGGGGAGGAAAGCTTTCTACCTCACCTTCATCTCCCGAGGGATCCAGCACCTGCCCTGTCTACAAAGTGGAATACAACACTTCCCTGCCTCTCACAGAGAATAAGGATCACCCACAGGACCAGACCCAGTTCCAGGCACTGGGGATCCATCAGCGAGTAAAGCAGAACCCCCTGATGGGCTTCTGCCATCTAAGTCAAATAAGTTTAGTGTGTGCTGTTCCGAAGGAGTGACCTGGGAATTTAGAAATTTCTTCTCTCTCACAACAAAGCGTGTGACAATTATTGCTATGGAATTCAAAATCCAAGTCTGGGAGTCAAACGCCGAACACAGGGTATTTTGCTTTATTCATCCCACAGCACTTAAATCAACTCCAGTGCTTCCTGAGGTGCACACGCCTTCAGGGCTGAGTGAGGTTTCTGAACAAGGGAGGAAGGTGAGCCAGTCCTCACCCCCGTGGGACCCAGCCACAGGTTTCTGGGTAGCAGCAGAGGACCAGGGAAGCAGACAGAGTCTCGCAAAGCTTGAGGACCCAGGTTTGAGCCACTGGCTCAAGGAGTGAGAAAAAGAGAATCACACTGATATTTAAAAACTCTTAATTCATGTTGCATGTGTGTTGTACACCGCTCTGTGCTAGGTCCTGCCCAGGAGCTCCTCAGAAGACCCCCCTCATCCTTTCAGCCAGGCACTTGAAAGCCTTTTAAATGACTTATCTGATCATCACAACAACCATTTGAGGCAGTCTCACTTTTTTTTTTAACGTTGAGGAAACTGAGGCACAAAAACTCATCACTAGAAGCATCCAGAGCTCTCATCCCCAGGTGGCCAGGCGCACATGCAAGGTTTGGTTGTTTGGATGCATGGAGCCCAAACCAGCCCCCAATCCACTTCCCATGCCTCTTTGTGTTGACCACACTTGACAACTTAAATCGCTCTCTCCTTCCCCTTGTTCCTTCAAGTGTGGGACAGGCTTTGATCCTCCACAGTGCCAGGAAAGGGGCTTGTCGTCCAGTCATGTTTGTGGGGAAGGGTCATGGAGACCTCCAAGAAGAAATGTGCTGAGTTGAGTTTTAAAAGATGAGAAGAGGCAAGAGGAAGGCATCCTGGGCTGAGGTAACAGCAGGAACAGGGCAAGAAGTCCAGCATATGTCTTTTGGTGTTGCTGGTGGGTAGGTGTGAGGTGAGGCCAGGAGGAGGATGAGGCTGGGTGGACTGTGGAAGAGACTTGCAATTGTTCAAGGATACAGAACCCTTGATCCTTGAAGAATACAGATCATCTTTCAAGTATACAAAACCCTAAAGGGTTTCGATCCAGGGCACAAAAGGTGTCAAAAAAACAGGGTTTGAAGCAGGTGAGTCATAACTCTGTGATGCTGAGTCATCGGATCCTAAAGGTTTTGCCATCCTTGAGGAACTCCAGCCTTTGGATATGAAGTTTCAGAAAACAATATCCAACCCCAACCACCAGCGGAAGAGAACAGGTATCCTGCTTGATAGCCAGGGCAGGTGGGGCAGCCAGAGTGGCTGGCTTGGCTTTCACAGTTACAGTGATGTTTATATTCTTTATACTCTTTTCTTGTGGAGCCTACCAACCCACTTGGGATGAAGCCGGCACTTTGTCAAATATCTAATTCTGGCGTATATTCTCTTGCCTCATTACTATATGCTTTAGAGTCGGGGATACACCAGGCCTCAGATACACACTTCCCCTGGGGCAGGTGGCATGAGGAGGCGGTGTATCTGAGACTGTCTTGAGAATTCTATGAGAAAACAAGTGCTCTTCCTGATTGGGGGAGATACAGCAAGGTCAATCATTCATCTATGAGAATAAACTGTATCCCAAATAATTGTCAGGGAGGTTCTGGTGTCTGTGGAGAGCATTCAAGCCTCAGGGAGGATTCCTTCTCCACTTTGCCCTGGAGCCTCACCAAGATTTGCCTTTTCTTTGTGATTTTACCCCATCTGTAGTGTAAAACCTCTTGACTTCACATATTTGCAAGTTTTAAAAATCATAATCGAGTTTGAGGACTGTGAAACCAAATTAGGTGGCAAAAATTACACCTTTTAACTTTTCATAAAATATTCTTTTTTTTCTTTCTGCTTAACACAAGCTTTATCTAAATAATACTTGAGTTACATTTATTGGGCATTCAACTCAACATAAATAAATATTACTCTGAAGGGTAATAATATTGGAGTGATGTGCTCTTAATATTGTATCAGGATGGTGAACATTTCTATTGCCAGGGTTGAGCATCGTAAGCTCTGCAGTAATTCTCTTTCACGAGCATGGCTTGATCTGAGAAAATAAAGCCCTAAAATTCAATATGATGACAAAATAACATGCATAACTTTAACCAAAAGTTACAGGGTGTCCAAATCCGGTGGTGCTTTTGTCTCAAAATCCCTTAATGGGGAAACTTCTTAGGCCATCTCGTTAATTTATCTCTCCAATTAAAAATACATATATATAATTAGCTATAGATATCTGCTTACAAAACATCCAGTGTCGCTCACAAAACCTTGTAAACCACCATAATGGAGAGGATCGAGTGACGAGAGGTAACACCCTAGCAGGATAATGTAAGCTGGCGCTGTGGCCGGGCCGCTACCCATCACTCACTAACCTGCACCAAAGAGCTCACTGCTGGGACAGTTTGCGGTGCAGGGAAGCACAGCGGCCACCGAGATCTGGATGGCAGCCATGTCTCCCACAAGCTCTGAGGGCGTGTATTATGAATAGGATGTTTCTCAGGCTCCTTTGGGCAGGGTCTTAGTTTCTCAATGTTTTCTCCATCATCATTGAAGGGAGGGCAGAGGGGTCTTGTTTGCAAGGAACTGTTGGTGTTGTCTCTGCTATTTCAGCTCTTAGTCAGGAAGGGAGACGTACACCCAGGTATTTGGGACCTGAAGGAGCGTTACCATCAAGGCAGGAAGCATTTCCTGCCAGAGACAAGCCAGACAGACCAAGAGACCTGGTAGGGCATGTCCTAAACAGCCTACGAGGAAAGCTGCAGCCAGGCAGGTGTCTATGGGCCATGATTTTGTGTCTGCCTCTACTCCCTTCACCCCAAGAGGCAGAGTATGGGAAAAAGAGCTGGAAGCCAGGATTCTGTTACTTCTTCCCATAGCAGATAAGGACAATTAATAACAGGAATGCTTCTCACAAGCAAATGTGTTAAATGAGTAAAGTCAAACCACGATTGTCAACTGAATCAGACAGGTGACAAATTCCTCTTCAGTCCCCCCATGGACCATAGACAAGATACCACAGACTTCTATGCCTCCATTTCTTCATCTGCCTGGTAGGGGTCATTCTGCTCTGACTCCTACAAGGTTCCTTTGGGGACTGCGGGAGATAATGTGGTTATACAGGAACACCCGAAGGCCTGAATAGTTCGGAGGGGTCTCCATGGCATTCCCGCTCACTGTCACTTTGCTCACAGTCCTGGTGCTTTGGCCTGTGGTGCCCCACTTTTACCAGGGCACAGACCAGCC